AAATTTACACAGAACAGTAGAGTCTTCTTCCTTCCCCCTTTTCGTTTTTATTGTTTCTGATTCTTCTTGTACACATAATCTCATTCTTGTCACACACAGAAAAAGAGAAAGGTAGTTTTGTTCGTTATGTACAGAGAGACACATATTGAAATAAAGATCTTCTCTTCTTCTTGTCTACATTAACTGTAACAACTTTAGCTCTATAGTTCACTCTCTCATGTTTCTTACAAGTAAGGAAACATAAAGGAACAAAAAGACAGTACAATGAGTTAGGCTGCAATCTCTCTGATCAGCCAGTTTAAACTCGGGAAAGCGAAATAAAGGACGAGAAACGACGGGACAGCCAGAGCAAACGTGACAAAGAAATAGATCCCGAGAACTGCAGCACTCACAGGGATTGCATATAAAGCCATCAAAAGGAATATGACTACCAAAGGAAACTTAGCTAACAAATGAGCAACAAGAGCCGAGTCATGGATTCTCCCAGTTCTGAAGTATCCTCTAGTCACACCATTCCACCAACCGCGATTCTCCTGCAACCGTTCATCATCCGAGGCGGTACTACTCGCTCCATCACACCTCTTTCTCATCTCTCTATGCCCTGAAGTGACCACCCTCTGGTTGTCACTGCGCGAATCGGATCTGCAGCCATTCATGCTTTCAACCATCCATAAAAGGTAATAGTTCTTGGAAGGGAACTTGATGGTTCCATTACAAACCATCCTTAAAGAGAGTACATTGCACCAAGGACAAGCAACGAAGAAAGGAAGCTGAAAAGGTAAAGCTGAGGACTTTATCACAACAGCTCGTTGAAGACCTAAGAGACAATATCTGCAGATTGTGTGACCACACCATAAGACATAAGGCACATTCTCAACAACGTTGAATGATTCCCAGCAAATAGGACACTCCAATCTTTCTTCTTTCGTTGTTGGCTTTGTTACAGCATCTTCTCCTTTTGATTTATTAAAGCCTTCTTTGATTGATTTTGAAGCTAATTTCCACATAACAATGGAGAGGAGGAGAGGGAAAAACAGATTCCTTTTTCGTTTCCACAAAGGTAAAATCACACTCAATCCTTCAAAGAAACAAGAATCAATTATTTTTTTCAGACAGTATAGAGATGATAAGCCAAAACAAGATAAGATACATAATCAAACATAAAATTCAAATTAAGACCCACAAAGATTCAACCAAGAACATACAAAAAGCAACGAACTTGATGAAACCCAAGAAATCATT